AATGTTATTCTTGCTAATAAATATCACGGCCCCTTAACAAAAAGACAGACTATGCTATTTTAAGATCTTGCATGTTATTCTTTAATAATCAAGAGCCAGCCATTGAGTTTTCCAGAGCAAAATGTTACGCTACAAAGAGCAAGGCACTGAAGTTTTACATACAGTGAATTTCCGTTATTGACAACTATTGGGTTATTTTTACAAGCTGTGCTTTTTTACTTTCTCCAGACACTATCAGATGGTAAAAATTCACTGCCCAAGTATCAGCAGAAATTAATTCTGTGACTAAGAAACCAAACCAAACCAACAAAACCCAGTCAAACATAACGATCCTTCTGCAACAAATAGGAAAATTGAAATGTCTCTGTGACTCAGTGCTTTGCTCGAACAGCGTCTGCCCTCACTTCGCCCCTGCTCTACCTTCAGCTACAGATGGCTTTTTAGAAATTTTCACCAGGACTAGACTGTGACATGCAAGAACAGACAGGGTGCCGCAGTGCGCGAGATCATAGTGCGTTGATTACACCAGCCACTAGAGCCATGCGGTGGATCCTTCGTAATCAACAGAAAGCCTAAGTTGGTGCATTCCCCACTAAAATTAAAAATAAACAAAATGTATGTCTGTAGCGTACACTGAAATAGTAAGAATAGAGATGGGAGAAAAGGGAGAGGCATACACCCTTTAGAATAAAGTTAGCCTTATGTGACATAAATAGTGACCAATCAATAGACTGTTAAAAGAAAACAGTATCTGCCCAAATAGAGAAAGGTTAACAGAGTCTGTCCATGAAAACCACAGACTAATCATTTATTCACAAACAAGCAGTAACTTATACCACCCCTGCCTGTGATTTCTGACCGCTTCATTAATTAGATAACCTTAAGAATTCTCTTGTATTTAACTTACGGTTTTAATATTGAAAACACAGACTTTGTGGATCCGTATGCAAATTCCCTAATTGCTAATTTTTCTTACGGGGAAAAAAGTGTGCACTGAGTGGTTAACATGCACTTTTATAGCTTGTCTGTGTTCACTGAAGCTGCCTGTTGCAGGCACCTGCACTCCCCTCTTCCCCCCAGTTCCCACTGCAACCTTGACTTATGCAAGCAGCTAAAGAGGCAGTAGGGAAGCAGTATTTTCACGTACTCTACAGATACCACCTACAGTGTCATTTACATTTTGTAATTTAAAATAAAAGTAAAATAAAAATAACATTTCTCTTTAAACTAAGAAGTTTACTTTTTAAAAGACCTGTAAGAGGAAAGACTGAACGGCCAGACTCATTGCTCTAGTTTCTAACACTATTAGTGAAGCTATAAAGCTGCAAGGTAGCAGTGACAATGTTTGATGTACTAACACGTTCATCCAACACTGACTCTGTTTTTCTAAGAAGAGAGTTGCCGTGCGAACATCTAGATGCAATACAGCAAAATCAGCTGCGCTGTAGCACTAGAAATCACAACTGGATGGATTTATGGCACTGCACTACTGCCATCTACACAAGCTTCATTAGTGTTTTATCTAAATAAAGGGGTTTTTATTGTCCATTGTTCTTTCTGGCAGTATTTATATTTGTGCAAATCAAGTGCAAACTTCAACAGATGGGACAACCGTGCTTTAAGCATGGGCTGACACCAGACTGACGGGCACCTGCCCTGATCAAATCTTTGAAAAGCTGAGGCAGAACAAAACCTAGTAGATGTTGTAAGTGGTTTAAATTTTCCTTACAAAGCCAATTCTTTGTGCTTTTTAATTTTGAGGAAGTGACCTGCAGAGCTGGGGGCAGAAATGTTAATGGATATGTTCCTTGCTAGAGGAGACCTAGTAAAAGAAAAGTGAAGTAGCCACAATTGTAAAGAATAATTGTTGGTAGTTTATTTACAACAAAATGCAAGGAAATATACAGTATTAAAAGTAATAAATAACTTGGAAAAATCAGAAACTAAGTGATATAGTGCTCTAAGTACATTTAAAATAGGTTAAAATGATGACAGAGTCTTAGACATAGAAAAGTCAAGTTCCACAACAGATACCGTTATCTTTCACTAGTTTCTTCTATCATGACAATTGGGAAGACAAATCAGGACGACTTTTGCATCAAGATATAGTGCGGTAGTTAGGTGGAATTTTATCAGGCAATGCAACATGTTAAAGATCAGAAACTATGATATAGTGCTCTAAGTACATTTAAAATAGGTTAAAATGATGACAGAGTCTTAGACATAGAAAAGTCAAGTTCCACAACAGATACCGTTATCTTTCACTAGTTTCTTCTATCATGACAATTGGGAAGACAAATCAGGACGACTTTTGCATCAAGATATAGTGCGGTAGTTAGGTGGAATTTTATCAGGCAATGCAACATGTTAAATAAAATAATTCTAATAATATACTAGCCTGCTAAATGACAACAGGAACCCGAGAGCATTTATATTGCTTTCTTCCACTAATCAATGGAATTAGCTTTAGTATCCTTATATCTAATTATTGCTTTTTACAATCAACATCTACTTTATTAGATAGCATGGAAATGAAGAATAGATCAGAGTTCAGAGATTTCAAAAAACCTGTATGGTCTCAAAAAATATATCTAGACATAGCTGAGTTAAAATCAGACATGCATTATTACCCTCATCACTGCAATATTAGTATTCATTCAATATATTTTGCATTACGACTGCAAAATTCACAGAAGTATTTTTTGGATTAATTATTTCTTCATCAGCCAAGGTTGATAATTGCAATGAAGAAAAATATAGTGTACCTACAGAAATCTATAGAAATGGATGCTATGTTTCCTGTTGTTTTCTGACTGGGCAAATGTAGTAAAATTTAATCTAAACTTGTCTGATACAAAGGAGAAATACACTTCACATTTTCTTAAGTGATGTTTAAGCCTATCCATTGAGTAACAGAAACAAGTTCGACTCTTAGTCCTAGTTCTGAGGTGTTTCTCTCTGTGGAGAGAGAAGTCTCTCCACAGGCTCAGTGAGCTCTCTCCGTATTTACTAACCTTCCAGCATTTCAGTGCTGTACCAGACACATCTCTGTCACCAGATCAATGTCACTGAATCAACAGCAAAAAAATGTAGATCTTCCACTGATTTATTGTGTTCACACTAGCGAATAGCATAGCCCTCTGAATTAGAAAGTCATGGAAGTTAGGGCTGGAATGCAGCCCTCGAATTCAGCTTCTCTTTCTCCTCCTCAATTCAAGTAAGGGTCAATTAAATCTGTTAATCTTGGTAAATACTTACCCAGTCTGTGACTCGGGTACCTCAGTATAAAGGTAATATATTACCACCCCACTGACACTCTGGTAAAAATTACATTTGAAGAGCTGGATTCAAGCAGAGTAGAGATTCTTTGATTTACATCATCTGAGTATCCTACCTCTGCGTTACTTTCATCTTAAATTCACTGGTTGGGTACTATTCTGGGCTTGATTCATAGTATTTTAGCCACAAAGCTGACACGGGGAGAAAAACTGAAAATTCACTGATTAAGTAGCTTCAGTTCTTCCTCTGTTAGGCATCGGTACAGAACGTGTCTTCTCACTGCTGACATTGTAATGTACCAGAAAACTAGTCTGCACCCTCCCGAAACCAGAGGTGTGGGCTTGCTCTGAATTAAAGTGCTGCCAAAAAGCAGAAGTGAACATTAAAAAAGTGTATAAATTACATAATGCTCATATAGTCGGTAACGTAATGTAATGCACTTCCTTTCTTTCCTCTCTCGCTGATCTGGATCTGGCTTAGACTAGCAGTGACTGAAAGCTGTTGGTATCTGGTGGCTAATACATGATCTCTGTCATGTTCCCGTTGGGAAAGTGTCTGTATGCCAAAAACATTATTCAAAATTATACCTTCTTTTACATGTAATTATTCTGCCATACACAGTGCAACAGCTGTCAGCCTTATTAACACACAGGCCCAAGGCGGTTCGGGAAACGTACCTCCCATCTGGAGAACAGAACACTTTAACCTTTGTAAGGCTGCCAGAGGGACACCCCTGGAAACTGAAAGGCTCCGTGTCTCACACCCCTTAAAACCTGCTTTACTGCCGCCTTCTTTCTCAAGAATGAGTTTAAATCCTCCTTCCTTAGGTCTCTGTATTACAGATCAATTTTCCAGACATTTTAACCTGTATTTCACACCTGTACGAAACTTCTTCCCATAAGTCTGCAACAAATTGCTGTTTAAATCATACCAAAATGAAGCATATCAAAACATATTTGTGTATTCATCCACGGGTTGAAACTTTACATACCGGGCTTTATCGAACGTTATTCTTTTCTTGCAAGTTGTATGACTCTGCTTTGCTCCCCCATCAGGGCAAAGTCTGACTGACCTCCTGCCTTCTACTCCCGAGCATCTCCCGATCAGCAGCTGCTGGCTACTCGCTCCCACCCTTCCTCTAGCCAGGATTTTGCAGAGTTAATTATCCTTTTCATCTCTAAGCTCTGAGAACTTTGGAACTTTTGGTAAGTGATTGCCAAAAGCGTCACCTCAGTAGTCCAGCCATTGTTCCCTGGAAGTTGTTTACTGAGATGTCTCATCTCTGACCATTGTTTAGTTTCCTGTTTGCTCTTCCTAACAGCTCCTTTGAATTCAACCCCCTTTACTCAGAGAGAATACTCTGAAACAGATAAAGTGGAACACAATTACACCGAAAAAAAAGGGTAATCTTTTCTTTACTCTCCATAAACGTTCATCGGGACTAAATTCACATAGGTAAGTTATGTTGTGTTCGGAGAAGCAACAAGCAGAATGTCAGATGGAGAAGGGAAGTTGTGTACACGGATCTTTCATCTCACGGTGCCGTAGAGGTAACTACTCTGCAGGCGGGCAAGCTGCTGGTGGACAGGATACCCCGGCAGGTGCAGAGACACAAGCCTGGTTAGGCCTTTTTCCCAGACTGAAGGACCTACAACCCCCGGCTACAGAACATGGCTAACGAAAAGGATGAAATAAAATTCTGCAAAAGCCGTCATACTTACAGTGTCGTTGCTTCCTTTGTTGTCCTCGTATTTTGTCTCTATATGAATGGAGAATTTAGGCAAAAATGAACACTGCAACAAAAGAAAAATATGTTTGACATAAAAAACGTGCCTCGCTTCATCGGCTGACAGAGTCAGTACGTCCTGTTTGGTATCAGCTTTCTTATTTTTTTCAGATTACTTCAAGAAAAAGGGTAAATGTACGCAGAACGTAAGAGCAGAGGTTTTTATGGTTCTGGAGGAACGTAGAGATTCTGTCTAAAAGCTGAATACTGTAACGAAGGTGTAAGTAAGTTAGTATAAGTACTCTGGAATAACCAGATACAATAGTTTTCCTGCTCGCTGTACATAAGAGTACAAATGTTCGTGGGTTTTTTTTGTCTTGTTACAAATTGAGTTCACTAAGATCTCAAGAACAACTAAATAATCATCATCATAGATTAGTCTGTCCCCCATATAAAATAATCCAAGGACGCTTCACTAGCTGCAGGTGCTAACCAAATAGACAACAATGCTCTGACGTGCGAGGGCTTTTTTTAATTTTCAGTGAGAAATGAATTTTAGCATAATTTCCTATTAATGAAATTAAAATGGATTATGAGCTGCTGTGGAAATTCCTTTACACTAAACCGAAAGCAATCTTTAGATAATAACGCAAGAAAATTAAGAATGCACAAATGTTTTTCTATTAAAGATAGTATTTCTATCTTTTACATGGGAATAAATTTATTTTTCTGAGGATGGCTTAACTTAGTTGGCTTATCAAGACTAGAATTTATAATACTAGGCAACATAATTCCAGTGGAAAAAAATATTTCAAATATCTTTTCTTTAGCATTTCACAGTTCTTTCAAATCAACTTTTCAGATAGGCAGATAGAGTAGATGTCTAAAAAACTCTGAAGGATACTAGTTCAGCATCTTTACTATTAGTTATCAAGTCTTTTCTTGCATTAACTGCCAGTGAAACCGAAGTGCCAGTTCCTTGTCTGATGCATCACTAATACCCTACGGCAAAGTGTCTTTGTAAAGACTATGACTATTTTGTGTGCGTTACATACGGATTATACAATGAGGACATTATGATGCCTCAGTGTTCACACTGCTGTTGGTCCAAGTTTGGACTTGACAAAATTTGGGGAGTTCTTCTAAGGGAGAGGCTGATGACTAAGAAAAGAGGTGATTTAGAAGGCAACAAAATTGAAATGAGAAACCAGCTCCTTTGAGACTGCAGAAAGTATATTCCTGATTCCACGGATATCACCAACAGGTCATTGTTCAATCTTCTTCTGATCGCAGGATATCTAGTATTCAATGAGCACATCTAGAATCAATCCTTGTTGAAAAAAACAGCGAGAGAATTTTGCCAGAATAAGGTTCTGGTGCCGTGGAAGGCTTCTGGTCAAACTGTCTTCCCATTAACATAATGAAATACTCTGATGTAACATGTTGGTGCTGCAGATGCCCAGACCGCCCGGGCTTCTCTTCAGATCCTATAAATGTTTTGCCTTTTATTAAAGATCTCTGTGGAGTAGCACATTTATGAGTTTCAATCCAATCTGAACTGCGACTAGCTCTCAGCTATGCAACTTGTTCATTGAGTGAATACGTGGGAGGGAAAAAAGTAAAAAAAAAAAAAAATCAGCAGTATGTGGCATGCAGGATGGGGCGAGTTCAGCGACAGAGCTGCTAGCTCCTATTACCCATATTTCGCAGGCAATTAAACGTTTCCTATGTATACATCTCAGGAAGTGCCAGCTGAAAATACACAATATTTATAAGCAGTCTGTCAGAACTGGGGGTCTTGTAACACAAATTAACGCCCCAAAAAATCCAGACACTCTCCCAACTGAGGTTTCACCACGTATCTCAGTATGTTGCTCCTATTCTGGCAGGCATCCAAAGGCATCTGCAAACAAAAGCCTTAGCAAACAGTGGGGCACTACAGGGAAAGAAGATGAAAAAAAAAGAAAAACCAAGGTTTGTCATAAGGTTCTAATTTGTATCTCCAAAATTAACCAAAAGGTGGAATGCACATCCTTGAACGATATTAATGTTAGCTGGAAGAAGAGATGAATAAAAGAGGCTGCTTAAAAGAATTCTATGATCAAATGTTCCTAGAGTAAGAAAAGTTATAGATGTGATGTTTGAAAAGATAGGGAATGACCCAGGAGACACGGGGGTGCCAGCACGTCCTAAAACAATGTTTGATGTTGCTCAGAGGATTTGTATTCAAACGGCATAAACCAACATTCTAGTTGTTCTGCGTGTTTGCAGAAGAACATGGAGGGTTGAAAAGTAAATTACTACTGGAGGTGGATTACGAAAAGCAGATTTTAAAAAAATTTATAACCTAATGACAGACATCATCTACTGCATAGTTTTTAGAGCATTTGGAAAATAACTACATTGGTGCTAGGGTGGTAAAAACACGGGTTATCGATCTCAAAAGTTTAGTATGTGGCAGCCTTGTATTTTACGAAGATGCGTAACTACCAGGGTCACAGTCCAGGCGTACAGAGCTCTTGCTGACAACAACCTAGACCTCTGCATATGGGCATCCCGTAGGAAGGCATCCTTGAGGAAATGAGAGGAGGCTGCCAATGAATATTTTGTTTTATCAGCAGTTACTAGTACTGCTCACTGAATGCAGTAACTGGTACTGCGCTACTGAGGGCTCAATGCTCAGGGTCTGAATAACAGCTTTTAGAAACATTCTCACTAAAAATGGTAGAGATTACGCCATACTATCTACGATACACTAATTGTTTAGAACAGTTATTAGGAAAACACAGTTTATTAGCATCGTGTCTGCATATTTATAGAATCATAGAATAGTTTGGGTTGGAAGGGACCTCTAAAGATCATCTAGTCCAACCCCCCTGCCATGGGCAGGGACATCTTCAACTAGATCAGGTTGCTCAGAGCCCCGTCCAACCTGACCTGGAATGTTTCCAGGGATGGGGCATCCACCACCTCTCTGGGCAACCTGGGCCAGTGTTTCACCACCTTCAGCATAAAAAATGTCTTCCTTATATCTAGTCTAAATCTACCCCCCTTTAGTTTAAAGCCATTCCCCCTTGTCCTGTCGCAACAGGCCCTGCTAAAAAGGTTGCCGCCATCTTTCTTATCAGCCCCCTTTAAGTACTGACAGGCTGCAATAAGGTCTCCCTGGAGCCTTCTCTTCTCCAGGCTGAACAACCCCAACTCTCTCAGCCCTTCTTCATAGGAGAGGTGTTCCATCCCCCTGATCAAGGGGGGATTTCAAGGTTACTGCTCTAGGCTATGTTTTACCTACATGTTAGCGTATGTTAAGTATCTACCCTCTTGATTTGAGGACCAAAATTTTAATTTCTTTGCTACACAATTAAATAAAATCAACACTCCCTAAATAAGATCTAGTAATTGATAAAACCAGAAAACAGAATGACATCAATGATCTATTACTAGTGGAAGGGTCATCAAGACTATAATGCTTGAGCAGATTGAGTATCTGGGTCAGAGCTTTGTGAGTTCGCAAACTTTTAAGTTATACAGTCTGAGTCTAGTGGTTTGTCGGAAACCTCGGTGGCTATGGAAATTGCTTTGACTATGCTGACCTTCATGGCTCTGGCCAGTGCAGTGTTCTCAGCTCTTTTAAGCAGCAGCAGCAGGATCCACCACAGCGCCTGGTGCTGCTTTCATGGTCCCATTGTCAGAAAACTCCATTGACAGAAGGAACTTCAGTATAGCATCTTTCATAGCCAATACAAAGCTAACACCCTTACCAAAACAGTTCCTCATCCCTGGTTCTGATCAAAGCACCTTTGCTTATGATCTAACTACAGAAATTCAGGAGTTGTTGGATTGAGTACATTTTTCAATACTCAAACACACTTTTCTTTGTTGCTTTTAGGTCACAGTTTCAGGTACAGTGGAGGATAAAAATGCAAAATATGAAAAACCTTTGTGCTGTTGATATGAAGCATGGCTACAGTTTCAGAGGAAATTTTGAATAAAGCCAAATTCCAGATTTCTGTTCTACCTTGCTATCAAAAAAAATCTACTATTTTCAACCACTGTCTAGAGTTTACCAGCAATGAGTCAGATCACGATACTTCAAAATGCAGCCATTTCATATATTGAACCTAAGGCTGCATTAGGCTGCCTGTAGCAGCTCAGCAAGCCACTGCTTGAATCTAGTTGTTCTTTCCTGTGACCCAGAATCTAAACTCTAATTAAAAAAAGAGATCTTCTAGTCTGGTATTTCAAAAAAGAAACATTAAGAAAAGACTAAGGATCTTCAGAGTATTATAGAAGAAGAATTGTAAGTGCCATTTACCTCAAGCCACCTCATTAGAGAGCAGAAAGTAATTTTCTGCACAAGGCTATCAAAAGTCAACCTCCCTGTGTATTCAGTACAAAGGCGAGGGCTATAACAATCTAATTTGAGATTATAAATGGTAACCTGAATTTACCCCAAATGAAAACTAAAATTCACCAAAAAGCACTCCATTGCAAATACATCTCTCGGAAACTCAACTGACTGGCAGCCACTGGTTTAGCAGCTGTGGGGGGTCTCACTGGCTTTCAGGAACACTTAGCAGGGTCCAAATTTTTGAACGTTTCACAGAATGTGTCTCATGATTCATCAGCTGCACTCTGACTAATTGGCAGAGGGCTCTGGCAGAACCAGAAAACTGTTTATGCATCGTTCAAAAGACTTTATTATTCATCATGCAAAAAGTTGTTGGTTTTTTCCCCCTTCTTAAGTGGCTGCGTATTTACTTAGCCGGGGATTAAAAGTGTTATGCAACAGTCAGAATCAAACTTGGGAGTGAATGGTAGGTAATAAATCTTTTAGTAGATTTTTTCTTTCCCCAAAGCACCACTCCCTTTCTGCTCGGCCTCCCCCAGGGCGTGTGTTCTTCCAACACAAACCTGGCAGCCGATCGATGCACTGAGCACACACAGGAATGCACGGGGCACTGTTCCCAATTTTCCATTTCGCTATCTCTACAGCTTGCAAGGTTCCTCTTTGAAAAAAAAAACTAGTGGCAAATTAAATGTAAAACGAAAAAAGACACAAAAACT